TTGATTTTTTTTTTGCCTAAGATGCCCTTTACGGGTTTTCATCCTAGCAGTATTTTGCAAGTGATATTATTTTTGGCATAATACTTCTTTGCTTTGAAAAAATCTCCTGCCATTCGCGTTTGGGAGGACTAGCGTCTTTGATGATTAACACTGCCCCCCATTCCCGTACACCAAGGAGAAAGATGTTGCCCCCACCTACGGGTGTTGAAAGAGAGTTCTTTCAGGAGCCGAGATTTGTGGTTCCTTTGTCGGCCAAATTGGGCGAAATTTTTTTTTTTTTTTGCAAGACTCTTCTTATGCAATGAGAATCTTGTGTAAGACTCTTTTGATCACTTTCTTATTTTTGTGTGTGATCTTCTTATCTACCTTAGACTCCGATAATGCGTTATAGATGTTCGAAGCTTTGATTAATTTTATTATCTTCGGTCATGTTTGTATTTTTTTTTCATGGTGATTGATTTTGAATTTAATGTGTGACACAAGAGAGAAAAGAATAAACACAAGAGATTTATGAAATCACGTATATTATTTGATGAATGCAAAAAAACTTGTACAACCCCTTATTTTTGAACTCGTGACCGTAGGTGAAGTTCATGAGTTTGAGCATTTTTTTTATTTTTATTTTTGGAAAAAGAGAGCCCCTAACAACTATCGTCCCAAAATGGTTACTCATCTAGTCATTCCTTGATTTGTGTTGTGTTGGCCTCAAACTTGAGTTGCCCGACATTGATAAGCTCTTGCACACGAGATTTCAAAGCATTGCAATTTTCTATGGAGTGGCCTGCTGCCCCGGCGTGATAATCGCATGTTTCCTCGGGCCTATACCATAGTGGGTAAGGCGGTTGCTGCTTTCTTTGTGGTGGAGTTCTTACCAGCATGGATGCCTTCACCAATTGAGGGAATAGCTCTGTGTAGCTTATAAGAATTTTATCAAGTTCCCTTTTTGCTTTTGGTGATGCTTTGGTCGTTCGAGGAGTAGCGGAAGAGGTTAGAACATTGATTTCATTTCCCCCAAAAGTCTTCTCTTACCCTTGGCTTTCGGAAAATTTTCCTATCTTCCCACTTTTTAGACCTTGCTCGACTCTATCCTCGATAGTGACTATGTCGAAAAAGAGAGTCGAAGTGTTCCCTATCATCTTGTCATAATAGGGTCCACTTAAAGAATTGATGAACATTGTCACCGTCTCCTTATCAGATAATGAAGGCTCTACTTGCGCAACCATTTCTCTCCATCTCTGTGCATAGGTTTTGAAGGACTCGTCGCCCTTCTTGCTCAAGCTTTGCAAATCAGACCTATTAGGAATTAGGTTGATGTTTTACTTGTACCGACGAAGAAAGGCGTCGGCTAACTGTTTCCATGTCTGGATCTTCCCTTCATCCAGCTGCATGTACCAGTTGAGAGCAGCATCTGAAAGGCTTTCCTGAAAACAGTGTATCAGGAGCTTTTCGTTGCTCACATAGGCTGTCATCTTCCTACAGTACATTGTTAGATGTCCTTTTGGAAAACTAGCTCTGGTGTACTTTTGGAAGTCAGGGATTTTGAACTTGGCAGGGAATTGGATATCTTGCACCAAGCACATATTCGCAGCCTCTTGAACGTCAAAATTGTGGCCTTCCACAGCTCTCAGTCTTTCTTCCCAAGCGTTCAGATGATCTTTGGAAACGTCGCTGATGTTGCTAGTACTATTGTCGTGCTGCAATTTGTTCATGGCCTCAAGCATTCTAGCCATTGTTTCCTTGAGTTGTTCAAGATCCTCATTGAGGACACGATTTCTTTTCTCTAGGCCTTCCATAGCTTTTATCTTTTGAGCTCGTGTGAGTATGGAATGTTGAAAAGCCACCTTTAAGGGATAAGATAGTTTTCTATCAAGCTTATTTAAATGGTAATGCATGAAGGGAGCTTCTATCAAAGACTTGATGGCTCATCCTTGTCGAGAGGTGAGTTATCGGTGTTCCTCTTCATAATATTTTATGATGTGACAGAGGTCACACTGGTTTCTCGTCTTTGATACAAATCCCCTTGTGATCCTAAATATATGATATACATGTTCCCTTTTTTTTATTATCCTTTGATTTATTATATTTTTTATTTTGTAGAAAATGCATGATGCCCCCTTTTTTTTAAAAAAAAAAAAGGAATGTATGCTTCTCACAGATCTTATTTTCACACTAGGTTTTCTCTCATATGATAATGCATTTTTTAATTTTTTTTGTGTTTTTCTTTACCTTAGGGGAATTATAAAAAATAAATGAATGATTTGAATAGAAAAAATGCAACAAACATATGCTCATACAATCCACAAACAATCGCGTATAAATCCATGGTCTGTGGTCCTTGTTAAGAAAAGTGCATTGTATAGGACAGTTCTAATCTCACTGGTCTTAAGGCCCCCAAGGTGCCTCCATTATAGGGACCCAGTATCTCTGTCACCGTCACCTGGCAAACTTTAAGGTCTGTCGCAGTATTTCGGCCTAGAGTAACCGGTTATCACCTTGAGTGTGATTTCTGACAAGGCTCGCAGGCTCCAAGGCGAAACTTGGGCCAGTCGTACGTCAACCACTCCCTATGTTTAATACCCTCATGCCCCCGGGTGTAGGGGGAATTGTTGTGTGCAAAGGTTTGTGTGCAATTTATTTCAAACATATGCAGAATTTAAACAGGCAAACAGATATTAAAGCCAAACAAATAAAGCAAAACAAAGTAAAGGGGAAAAATATTTAAATTATTATTTTTTATTTTATTAACTTCATCAATTAAATGGGTCTGACCCTCTTTAAACGTCCCCAGTGGAGTCGCCATCTATCGCAACCCGAAAATTTCCGATCTCACGACCTATGGTTTAGACATCCCTTTAAAGATCTCATTAATTAAGGAATGCCCGGACACCAGACTAATCCTTAATTAATGGTTTTGAAAATAGGTTCTTAGAGTCGCCACCAATGTTTTACTCAAAACATTGGAAAAATAAAAGGTTTTTAAAAATTCAATAATGGCCTTGATAACTAGAATTGAGTTTGGGGGTCGGTTACATGTAGGAAAGGTATTAAGCACCCCTACAGCGCCCTCAATAGGTACCCTATGATGAAGTTAATGTTATAAGAAATAATAAATTAAATATTAGACCCCCTTTATGAATTACTATTTACATGCTTGAAATTTCAATTACACGGTTGATCCTAAAATGTCTACATGATTGCTCTTATTATAACAATGTATATTAAAAATCAGAAATAAAAGAGAGAGAAGAAGATTAAATAAAATACCTCGTGACAAGCATTGTTAGATCTTCAGATATGGAAAATCTAGGTGCTTTGTGGCAACCTTTCACACTACAATTGCCTCACAATACTCAAGAAATACAATAAGAGAGAGAGAGAAAAAAAGAGAAATTTCGAGTTCTAAGGAGTGCTGGACGAAATTTTTTGGGGTCCCTTGAATTGGGCCGAGATTTCTTATATATAGGCATCAGACGTGGGCCGGAACGGCCCGTTCTGGTCTAGAACTGCCCGTTCCAGCCAACAAATTTTGGACCATTGAGAAGCCTCGGAACGGCCCGTTCTGGTCTAGAACTGCCCGTTCCAGCCAACAAATTTTGGACCATTGAGAAGCCTCGGAACGGCCCGTTCTGGTCTAGAACTGCCCGTTCCAGCCAACAAATTTTGGACCATTGAGAAGCCTCGGAACGGCCCGTTCCAATTCGAGAACGGCTCGTTCCAGACTTGGGAACGGCCCGTTCCGGGCCACTAAAAAAAAGTTAATTTGGGCTTTTGGGCCCTCTGATGTCCTATCTTGTTGTTTTGTGCCCCCGGACGAAATTGGGTGTCTACAGATGATAGACGTCCATTTCATTTCTATTGTTGGTTTGGACAAAATTGGGTGTCTACAGTCATTAGAATCAGTGTACAAATACATATATAGTGTTGTCTACCCACTATAAACTCCTTCCTTCTGCGTCTGAACCTGGAAAGTAATGTGATTGTATTGAGACATACAACAAGTTCAGAGCAGACTAAGACAGAAGGGTGAATCATCTATTCAACTTGATGGCATCACAATCATTCAAAGATCCGCTTCCGTCTCTACAATCGTTGTAGGAGAAATAGGAAAATAGGGATAACTGCGCTAAAAAACTTCTTTGTGTAAATTTCTCATGGTGCAAGTAGTACCACATACCTAACATGCGATTATTTTTTAACTTAATCATTTTAAAATATATTTTATGAATAGTATCTTAATATTTTTTTTTCTTTCTATATGATAAGAGGATTTTAGTTGTTATGTATAAATTAATTGACAAAAAGATTTCCAGTGTTTTGAGAGCACCGATTAAAGAATCAATATATAATTATTGAATAAGTTTTTATTAAAAATACCGAAAAATGTGCAAATGTTTTTTTTTAAGACAGACTTTTTACTTTTAATTCTTTAACTAATATTTTAGTATTTTTTTAAAAAAAATTGTCACAAAATTTAAACATGAAAATAAATAAAGACTAAAATTTTACGATAAAAATTGACGAATAAAAAGGAATAAAAGAGTAACATTTAATATATATATATATATATAGAGAGAGGACTTTTTCTTTTTTTTAAGTAACATGATATTAATATTAAATAATGATTATCATAAAGGTCAGTATTCTAATTATAAATAATTTGATTAAGAAAATAAATAGTTATAATTTATGTCGATCAATGTTTGTTTCTACATGAAATAAATTTTATGAACATATATTTTAATAAAATAAATTATACTAACATTCCTAAAGTTCCAAAAAAATTGCATAAAAACTTCTTATTTTTTATATTCCTACAATAATTTTTCTTAATTATTTAAAAATATTACACTTAAGAGTATATGATATTAACTCCCTAATTATTTTAAAAAAATTACATTGTGACCTCTCCTCAAAGGAAATTATTATAAACATTAAAAAAAGTAAGGAGTGTGAATATAATTTTATAGAATTTCAAAAGATATGAATGTAATTTACTTGAATCAAAGTAAGATGAGTAAGATAACCTGAAGGTGCAAGATTGGACTGTCTATGATTCCATCTGAACCAGGAATGTTAAAAAGGATCTTGTCGAAACAAGGGAATGGGGGCAACAAATTGTCACCAAACTGCTCAATTGTGACATCTGCATCAGCCTCGACGAATATGACACCTTCTCCGTTGCAATCAACCATTAGTTTGCCATTAGGACTCTCCCTAAGCCTTCCTGCGAAGGGATAGTAAAACACAAGTGTTTTGGCGAGTGCTTGTCTAATGACTTGAACAGGGTCTTTCCCTGCCATTGAAGGTCGGTAACCATAGAAAAATACTAAAGGAATTTGTAAACGCAGGCAAAGTTGGTCATCTATGTCAGATAGCAGCTTAAGCTCACGGGGTGTGGGGGTAGCTGGGACTACTAGCTCCGGTGGCTTCGTACTTACTCTGAAATTTAGAGATGAAGTTTGTGGAACCCAATCTCCAAAATTCAAGCATTGCACATCCACATCTTTTCTTTGCTTCTCTTGCATATAACACGCATAAAATGGTTCCACAAACTTCATCTCTAAATTTCAGAGTAAGTACGAAGCCACCGGAGCTAGTAGTCCCAGCTACCCCCACACCCCGTGAGCTTAAGCTGCTATCTGACATAGATGACCAACTTTGCCTGCGTTTACAAATTCCTTTAGTATTTTTCTATTTACCTGATTTCAATTCCATTGGAAAGATAACGTCCAAGGGTACAAATTTTATGAAGACCACAAAATTTAATTCTGTCAATATAGTACTTTTACTGGCACAACAAAACTGTAGCGCAAAACATCTCCTACACTAGACAACAAAAGTGTATCAACATCTAAGGCCACGAAAATATCTCAATCCTTCCAAACCCACTCCTTTCCACCTCAAACTCATATCCAAGCTTTCCACTACAATCCTAAACCAAAAAAACTCACATATTAAGTACAAAGGAATTAGAAAAATAAAACTCACATGCTACCTAAACCATAAAAGGTTAACATGCAAACACCAACACTCAAGGAAATTACCAACGTTTCAATCTCAAATCAAGAATACCAAAACTCTAATTCTCAACATACAACCTCCTTGGATTCAATCGCTACAACTATAGATTTCAAAAGCTCCATCAACCATAAACTCTCAATACACTTGACGAATCAATGTCTCACCCACATCCAAGATTCTAATAGTTTCTAGTTGATTAGCACAATATCTCGTCTACTACTACTCGCACATATGCTTGCAACACAAGAGATATCACTCATCCACTACTTCTTACATAAGCAAGAAGTATCAAACAATTAAGCACTCATAAGAATGAAGAAGAGCAGTAATAACGATATTAGCTAACACTATCTATCATTCCTCTAATTACAATATAATCTAACAATATCAACACAAGGAGAACATCATCATCATCATTATCAAAGAAAAGCATCATCAAAGTACACAACAAACAAAATATTGTCAGAGTACACAATAGAATCATGATAAGTACATAACTCACGGCCGATTGGATCGACCTGCTCTGATACCACTAAATGTGACACCTTTACTACCCCAAAACATATATCATAATAATATAATTAAATTAAGGAAGTAAATTTTCAAAATTGGTAAAAGAGTTCACATGAGAATCTTCATAAATGTTCTTTAATATCCACAATAATTGAAAAAATAAAAATTAGAAAATAAAACATAAGAATTTACAAATTATTTTAAAAATATTAAGTACAACTTCATATAAAAATTCATGTCCTAAAAATCCTCTGTCCCAATGTCACAATATCAAAGCATACCTATAATTCAACTATTGGCATTCTAGATGCCACTCATAGTCGGATCTTCCTCACCTAAAACATCCACAAATTGTACGGTGAGAAAAGAAAACATTTATATGTAAAGCACACAAGGAAAAGCCACAACATAATCTCATCATAACTCATTACTTAATGAAATATTCACAACCATTTCTAATTCTATCAATCATGCATCATATTCACATCACAATTCACAATCATACAAATCCATTACAAATCTTGCAATTAACACTATGTCAAAGCCACGCCACATCTGACATAAGTGATACGTGTTAATTGCCTCACTCATCCCACACTATGCCAAGGTCACGCCGTCCTTGTAGCATCACTTACCCAAGGGTCGTGCCATCCCTGGTCATTAGTGTGAGGAACCACAATCACATCATATTCACATTCAATACAAAATCTCATCTCATAACTCAATTCCATATCACATACACACAACAGATAAGTCCGACAAAATAGTGGTTCTCATACCCCTCAAGCAATTCACCATGAATTCACATCTAGATCATCAATTTTTACCATATAATATAACAATAACATTTATAAATTAATATAAAACCTAATTGATTCACCAATTTAATAGAATATTAAATCAAATAGTTGAATCCCCAATTTTTTCAAAACCTAACTCACATTCACTTTTCTACAATTTCGTTCTCCCTCCCAGATTTATCATTTTTACAAATTAATTATATATTCATAATCCTTCGCACATACAAAATATCATAATACCAATAATTCTCCAAACAAAAACAATTATAAAATTATTAAAAAATTCCACAGGAACTCTTCTCCACCCATTCCTTCATGTGACTCTACACATAAATCTCCCCTTTTTCCCCGTACCTCGACAAGAAGTAACTGAAACTAGAGCATGATCTGGTTGATCTCGTCTGCTAGGTTCCCCTCATTCTTTAGAGAATGTAGAAGAAAAGAAGTCATAAGTGAAAAGTGTGCTTTTGGGAGTGTTAGAGCGTTCTATTTATAGGCATTAGGCGTGGCCGAAACGGCCCGTTTCAAATCTAGAATAGCCCGTTCTGGACTCATTCGTCATGTGTAAAATTTCACATCCAGAACGGCTCATTCTAGGTTTACATTTTAACCCATAACAACCATGTTTGGAACACCCCGTTCTTAAACCATAATGGCCCGTTCCCAACTAGGGTTACGAGCCTTTTTGGTGGTTTGGAACGCCGTGTTCCAATTTGGGAACGACCAGTTCCCAACTAAGATTTGTAGGCAATTTTAGTATTTTGGAACGGCCCATTCCAGTTTGGGAACGGCCCGTTCAGGGCTACTAAATCACCATCGTTTTAGTAGTTTGGAACGGCCCGTTCTAGGCTACTAAATCACCCTTATAAATTTATGAAAATTACTAAATTACCCTCAATAAAAGTATGAAAATTGAGGTGTTACACTTAGCAAAAATTATACCAGTGTTATTATAACCCTCCTCATATATATATATATATATATATATTTAAAATTTTATTGATTTTTTTAAAATATGATTGTCAATTTTTGTAAATAAATTCTTACATTTTCGACAAATATAAATTTGTTAGAAATATTCCATCAGTAATAAGACTTTTCCTACGAATTTTTTTTTCATCGAAAACATAAATTTTTCAATGGAAAAATTTGTTAGAAATTTCTGACAAATTATTATCTGTCGGTAATTTTTGAAGGATTTTTTCGGCAGAAATTTCTGACGGATTTTTTCATTGAAAATTTTTGATGAATTTTTCCGTCAAAAATTTCTGACGGATTTTTTCTGTCAGAAATTTCTGACAGATTTTTCTATCAGAAATTTGCGTTTTTCTTTTAGTGTCCTTACATGTACTCTTAGACTACCTTAGGTGTGTTGTTTAGGCAGCACACCAGTGATATGTGATATGTGACTGGCGCCACATGCAGACATTTATGAGTCGAGTCCATGACATCATTGCATGATGAATGACTGTGCATGTGTTACTGTGCCTAACTGTTATTTTTACACATGAAATCGAGTGAGATGTTTCTCACTCCCTTGTTGTTTTTTGTATGTGTTGAAATTGTGTTGCAGGTGATCATCAGCATGGGGATGTTGGTGATGAAGCTTAGGCTTCATTTGGGCACGCTCTGATAGGATATGTGACATCGGGGCGTACTTAGGACTATCCTTGGATGTTGGTTCCATTAAACTATTTTGAAAACCTTAGTTTCTTTTCTTTTGTAATTTCTACATTTGAGTTATGGTTTATGAGTTGTGAATGTGAATCTTCCACCTTATGATATTTGAGGAACTTGTTTTATCCATGAAAGATTTTATTTACTTAGAAAATTATAGTTTACATTTATTATGTATTAATGTTGGGGTAGAGGGTGTCACATTATTGGTTTATCTTATATAGGGAAAAAAATTTCCCGTTTGCACCAACCTCGTAATATATA